ACTATCGCTAGCCGAGACGAGCTGACGCGCCGAGGCGCCGGCCAGTCGCAGCCGTGAGGCATGCCACAGCAGCAGAGGCACCTCCCACCCATTGGGCGGGCAGACAGAAGGCCAGGGCAGCACTGGCAAGTGCAACGCGCCTCATGTCGGAGAGCGACCGTGCCTCGTTCGCCGCTTATGATGTAGCGATCCGAAGAGTGGCCGCTATGCGAGGGAAAGAGCGGGGCCCTCGACGCCTCAGTCCGGCCCTCCGAGGGGGGAAGGGAAGTGCGGGGTCCCCACGGGCGCCTCAGTTCGGCCCTCCCGAGGGGGGGAGGGGAGCAAGGGGGTGGGGGGATCAGGGCGGTGGGGAGGGGTCTCGGTTTCTTGTGGCTAACACTTGCCTTTCGGGGAGGGGCCTCAGTTGGAAGGCGCGCATGCAGCCCTACGTCTTCCCCTCCTCCCCAGAGGCAGCGAGTAGGCAGCGAGAGGAGGTCTCGAGCGCCTATATGAAGGTATGTGAGATGGTGATGGGAATGGGTGGTCGGTCGGTCGGGCGGGCGGGCGGGCGGGCGGGCGGGCAAGCAAGCGGGGAGCGGCGGGCGGGCGGGGCGGAGCGGGCGGGCAGGGTTATCGCGGGAATCGTGTCCACAATCAGCGGCAGCGGAGCAGCAGCCGCAGCAGCAGCTGCTGCAGCAGCAAGCAGCAGCCAGATTGCTGCCGTTGTCTGCGCCGCGATCCGCCGCCGCGCCGCCGCGCTGCCGCCGCCTGCGCTCGCCGCCGCCTCGTAGACGACTCCTCTCGCGCTCGGAGAGCCGCGCAGCGGGCCGCGAGGTTGTGGTCAGAGAGCAGCAGGGTTGAGATCCACAAAATCGGCCAAATTTGAGGTTGCCCGAGAGAGCCTGGAAATGGTCCCGCGCCGTTGCCCCGGTGCCGGCGCATCACGTCTCAGCCGCGATGGGCCGGTTCCGCCGCGTAGTCGAGCAGCAGGAGCTCGGAGGCAACTTTGTCGACAAACTGGTCGAGCATTTAGCAAAGCAACCTCTCTCACACAGACAGCAACACAATGGTTTTCAAAAGTCTCTCTCTCTCAGACAGCATCCATCTCAGGAGGAAGAACGCTGCTCGCAACATGCGTGTCGCGCACTCATTCATGACCGGTCTCAACGTCCCACCCCCTGCGCCGCTGCCCGCGGGCCTTCTAGGCCCGCGGGTAGTCTCCCCCCCGTCCCCAGGGCCTCCACGGCTCGCACCTCAACCAGTCAAAAAAAATTCTCAAAGGCCAACTGTGAAGAGGAAATCGAGGCGACGGCGTCACTCTGCATCTACGATGGCGTGCTGCCTCCCGGGCTGGTGCTGCAAGTTCCAGCGGCGGATCGAGGCGTGCGGCGTCATCCTCTACGAGGAGTCGCACCTCGCCGACGGCGACTTCTCCACCGTCACTCTCGTCTGGCACGAGGACGACCTCGTCGTCCTCAAGCGCACCCCACTCCCCGCCGACCAGAAGGCGAGGGCGGACGACGTGGTCACTGCGCACGAGCGGCTGCGCGGGCACCCTTTCATCGTGCACCTCTTCGGCCACGACCTCATCGCCGCCGGCGACGCCCTCGAGCAACGGCTGCTCCTCGAGTACTGCGCGGGCGGCTCGCTGGCAGCCTCGCCGCTGCCGATCGGGGAGGCGCACGCGCTGCCGATCCTCGGCCAGCTCTGCTCCGCGGTGAGCGCCTGCCACGCCGCCGGAGTGACGCACCGCGACGTGCGGCTCGAGAACGTCTACCGGCGGGCGGGGCCGCGAGACACGTACGTGCTCGCCTCCTTCGGGGCGTGCCGCGTCTCCAAGCTCCCCTCGTCGCCGAGCGGCCAGGTCCTCCGGAGCCGCGAGGCGGTGGCGGCGGCGCGCCAGGAGGCGGAGGAGACGGTGCACGCCGTCTGCCGCGCGCCAGAGCAGGTGGCGCCGGAGCTCGGCGCGACCCTCGGGCCAAAGGTGGACGTGTGGGGCGTCGGCGTGGTGCTGCACCAGCTGCTCCTCGGCGTCGCGCCCTTCGCCTCGCCCCTCGACACGCTCGCCGACCGCGCCCCCCTGCCCGCCGAGGCCAGCAGGAGCCCGGCGGCGCGCAAGCTGATGAGCAAGATGCTCCAGCGAGA